ATGGCAGCTAAGCCCTTTTAAGAAGGTCTTAGCCCATTTTGTAGCTATCCACAAACAGGTTAAAAAAATGATGCCCAGTGAATTTACCAAAAGACATGACCCCAATATAGAGTGTTGATATAAACAAAAGTCACCCAATTTACTTCTTTTTTACTTTTGAAGTAATTTATATGACTACTAGGCACACTATAAATACTTTAACCAAGGATATAGCTTTACTTATTTTTCGTTTCTAATAATTTAAGTCTGCAACTGTAATAGTAATAAAATTTGTCGATGAGCTGGAACTAAGTAGGTGTAATTTATGCATAACATTTAACTTGTTTATAAGATGAAATTTTTTAATAAGGATTCCTTGAAGAGTTGAAATGTTAACTTAATTTCTTTTTTGCCTTTTTACATTTCTTAATTTTGTTGAAAGGAGTCCTGGTGGCGCAGTGGTTAAAGTGCTGGGCTGCTAACTGAAAGGTGGACGGTTCGAACCCAGGAGCCGTTCTGCTGGAGAAAGATATGGCTGTCTGCTTCCATAAAGATTACAGCCTTGGAAACCTTATGGGACAGTTCTACTCTGTCCCACAGGGTTGCTCTGAGTCAGAACCACCTAAACAGCTGTGGGTTTGAGTTGAAGTTTTATTTTGTTGAAGAATAAATATGGGATAAAGTAAAACATTTTTAGCTTCTACCAAATATCACTTTCACTCTTCGTCCTTTTTTTTTTTTTTTGAGAAAATATATACTTCGTTATTGCATGTCATTATAGCAATTCAAATTATTTCTCTACCTTTCCAAATGCTTCTTTAATAGTTGGATATATTGCTGACTTACATGTGAAATGGCCAGGTGGTCATATATAATGGATCTGAGAGCTTGGGAAATCAGAATTGTCATGTGAGCCTGGTGCTTAATTTCATGACTTTGGGTTAGTTGTTTAACTGTTGTTTTAACTTCCTCTAGTGGTAAACACTAACGTCTCCTGCCTATGTCAAAGGATTTATTGAGAATTAGTGATTGTTGTTGTTTTTAGTTGCTGCCCAGTAGATTCAGACTCATGGTGACTCCACGCTTGCAGAGTAGAGTTGCTCCGTAGGGTTTTCAAGGCTGTGACCTTTCTGAAACAAATCACCAGGAAGGTGCCTCTGGGTGGATTTGAGCAGCCAGCCTTTTGGCTAGTAGTCAAGTGCTTATCCATTTGTGCCACCCAGGAACTCCTAGTGATTATTAGGGAACATTTTTGCTTTAACCCTAGCTAAGGGTGCTCTAAGGAGCCCTGGTGGTGTGATAGTTAAGCACTCACCTACTATCCAAAGGGTCAGCAGTTTGAACCCACCAGCCACTCTGTGGGAGAAAAGACCTGGTGATCTGCTTCCATAAAGATTAGAGCCTAGGAAACCCTGTGGGTCAGCTGTGCTCTGTTCTCTAGGATCACGGTGAGTTGGAGTCAGCTCGATGGGCACACAACAACAATGGGTGCTCTCAGGCAAATGTTTGAGTACATGGGCAGGATACACTGTTTAAGCCAGGGAGTTCACTTCCAGGCCAGAGCTGTGCTTAAAATTCTGAGTGTTCATCCATTTGAATAGCTGATTTTCAACTTTTTGTGTTCAGAGGTGGTATCATAGCCATTGCTTACAGATTCTGTAACTGATGGAATATGTTGTGGAAATGTAAGACAGAACCAGTCAACCAACCAACCAACCAAACAAAAAACCAAACCAACCAACCAACCAACCAGAAGACACATTTAAATAAAACTTATTTAGACCATGTTTTGAATTTGAGAATGTGTTTCTTTTGCTGTTATCCTGAAGGTAGGATGATCAGTTTTGATAAATGAGTAGTAGCATATTGTATTCCTATTCTAGAAGACCTATTTGGTATGCAGAACGGAAGCATTAAAAAAAAAAAAAAAAAAGTAAATTGTTGTGCGCCATTGAGTCAGTTCCAATCATAGCAGCCCTATAGGACAGAATCGAACTGCCCTATTGGGTTTCCTAGGCTGTAATCTTATTGGGAGCAGATTGCCAGGTCTTTTTTCCTGCGGAGCCACTGGTGGGTTCAAACTACCAACTTTTTGGTTTGCTGCCAAGCATTTAGCTATTTGCACCACCAAGATTCCAAACCATGTAAAAGTAGGATGTTAATAGTTAATTTAACATTTATTTAGCAATTCATTTTTAAGCTCCTGATATGCCCTTGGAGTCCTGGTGGCACAGTGGTTAAGAGTTCATTGCCAGCCAATAAGTCGGCAGTTTGAATCCACCAGACGTCCTTGGAAACCCTACAGGGCAGTTCTGCTCTGTCCTACAGGGTCGCTATGAGTCAGAATTGACTTGATGGCAATGGTTTTTTTTTTTTTTAATATGCCCTGGTGTTGTTGGTGCAGTGGTTAAGAGCTATGGCTGCTAACCAGAAGGTTGGCAGTTTATATGCACCAGCCACTCTTTGGAAACCCTATGGGGCAGTTCTCATAGGGTTGCTATGAGTCGAAATGGACTCCATGGCAGTGGGTTTGGTTTTTGGTTTTTTATATGTACCAGATAATGTGCTAGGCACCTAGTAAGATGTGTAAATCGTGGTCCCTGCTTTCCAGAAGTGTCTTTACAGAGAGTGGACAGACATGTAAATAAATAACATTGTCACAGCATCTTGAAAGATTAGATGAGAAGCTTAGGGGGCAGTAACTATACGTTGGTGGTGGAATAATTTGGAAAAGGATAGTGAGAGCTGTTACACAACTTGAAGAATGTAAACAATGTCACTGAATTTTCACACAAAATAAAATAAAAATAACAGCATGATAAGTGCCATTACATAGATGCGAATGGCGTGTATTGAGAATGGAACAACAACTAGTCTAGGATAAGCATGGCCAGCTTTACTCAGGAAGTGACATTTCAGCTGTATTTACCTGACTCCAGTCTCAGGGAACAGCCCGTGCAAAAAAGCTGGTGGAGTCAAATAAGGGCTTGGAACGTCTGAAGGATGGTGAGAAGTTCATTGGGGCAAAAATGAAGTGTTCATTGGTGAGTTGGTGTAGTTAGGCAGAGCTTGTGTGTGTGTTTTGCTAATTAGGAAGAAATACAATGACCAGTATTTTAAGTTTTTTAAGGGGCATTAAGCTTTTAAAATTTATATACAGTTGAATTCACTTTTTTGACATACAGTTTTTTGAGTTTTTACACATGCATAAATTCTTGTAACCTGCTCCAGAGACAGGATACAGGATACAGAACAATTCTAACACCCCAAATACTTTCCTTATGTCACCCCTTTGTATTCAGATCCCCTCTCTACTGCTCCTCCTCCAACTACTGATCTATTTTCTGTGCCTATATGTTTCACGTTTTCTAGAATGTCATACAAATGAAATCATATAATATGTAGCCTTTTAAGACTGGCTTCTTTCACTTAGCATAATAACGTTTGAAGGTTACTCATGTTGTGTGTGTTAACAGTTCATTCTTTTCTATTGCCGAGTACTGTTTTCATTGTGTAGCTACACCACAGTTTATTCATTCCCATATTGAGGGATATTTGGGTCCTTTCGAGTGTTTGGTGATTACCAAGGGGGATAAAAGCTTCTGTAGACATCACAGGTTTTTGTGTGAATATGTATTTTCATTTCACTTGAGTAAATACCTTAGGAATGTGATTGCTGGGTCATATGATAACTGTATGTTTGTAAGAAACTGCCAAACTGTTTTCCAGAGTGGCTGCTGCACCTTTTTGCATTCCTGCCTACCAAGCATGAGAGTTCCTGTTGTTCCACATCCTCACCAGCATTTGGTATTGTTGGTGTTTTTTATTTTAGCTGCCCTAATAGGTGTGTAAAGGTATCTCATTTTGGTTTTCATTTGCATTTCCCTAATGAGTAATGAAGTTGAACACTTTTCATGTGTTTATTTTCAAACTGTATATCTTCTTTGGTGAAGGGACTAATTCTTTGGCTGACTTTTTTACTGGATAGTTTGTTTCCTTATGGTTGGGTTTTAAGATACAAGTCCTTTATGAGATATATGATTTGCAGATATTTTCCCCTGTTGGTGGCTTGTCTTTTCATTCTCTAAACAGTGTCATTTGCAGAGCAAAATTTTTTATTTTGCTCAAGTTCAACATATCAAATCTTTTCTTTATGGATAATGCTTTTAGTGTGTGTGAGGGCCTCTAAAACTGAGGTGCTTGGCATGATTGAAAATGACTGACCTAGGTCTGAATCAAAGCTCCATTTCTGAATTAAACTTTCGCTTATCTAAGTTCTCGTTTCTGCTTTCCTAAGAATAAAACCTGTGATTGAGAGCTTTATGATGTAACTTTTTGTAAAACTTTAACCACCCCCAGCAAACAGTGAGGGGGCAAGAATGTGGTTTATGAAGAAATGTTTGCCAGGAAATACTTGTCAAGATGGTCTCTGGAGAATGCTTGTGCAGCATGCCCCAGGAAGAATGTATATATAGGTTTTCCAGAAAATCGCTTGCTAGGTTGACTCCAGGAAGTCTGTGTTAGAAAATAGATTAGCTAGCCTTGTAAAATTATAACTTTCTATTGTTTTGTATCATGTAACTGTATGTAATCCCAAGCCCCATGATTGTGGTCATGTACTCACTTCCTGACTTTTATGTATAAAAAGCTCACCTCTCCCTCAAAATATTGGAACACTTTGTGATCTCACATTGTGTTGTGTTGCTTAGCTTGGGCTGTCCCAACCCTCCAATAAAACTCTTTGCTTTCACTTTTAACAGAGTGTTAAGTTTTGTTCAACCCCATGACAAGTGTTATATCTAAGAAGTCTTTGCCTAACCCAAGGTCTTGGAGATTTTCTCTTAGGTTTTCTAATAAGAGTTTTATAGTTTTACAGTTTACACTTAGGTTTATGATCCATTTTGAGTTGATTTTTTGTATACAGTGTGAAGTTTAGGTCAAGGTTCTTTTTTTTTTGCATATAAATGTTGGTTGTTACAGCATCATTTGGTGTAAAATTATCCTTTCTCCATGAATTGCACCTTTGTCGAAAATCAGTTGTCCATGTTTGTGTTGGATTCTCTGTTTTGTTCCATTGGTCTGTGTCTGTTCTTTCACCAATATCACTTTGTCTTAACTACTGTACGTTTTTAGTACATCTTAGAATCGAGTAATGTGAATCCTCCAAGTTTTTTATTCTTTTTCAAATTGTTTGGGTTATTCTAGTTCCTTTACCTTTTCATATATATTTTAGAATCAGCTTGTCTGTATATACAAAGAATACTGCTGAGATTTTGATGGAATTGCATTAAATAGATCAGTTTGTGGAGAACTGACATTTTAACTCTAATGAATCTTCCAAGCTGTGAACATGATGCTTCTCCGTTTACTTAGCTCTTCTTTGATATTGTTTATCAGAATTTTGTAGTTTTCTACATACATATTCTTAACATTTTAATTTTAAATCTTTTACAGACTAGATTATGGAAATGGGAAGTGAAGAAGAAAAGTGGGAGAAGCTGGATGCAGAATTTGATCACTTCGTGGTAGATATGAAGCCTTTTGTTCTAAAATTACCCCATAGGTCAGGTAAGATTATGTTTGAAAATTAGATTCTTAAGATTAATTTTTTTTTTCTATAATTTACTCGGGTCAATGAGTCATCTAAATGGAAAGACAACTAAATTCCTTCAGTAACAGTTTTCATCTTAAACTGATGTAGGACGGCTTACTTTGAGCTGTTCAAGACTAAAGAGAAATTTAGTAACATTGTCCTACTAAGCTATGGGAATGTCTTGTGATACCACCTCCCCATATATCATGAGCTTATGTGTGGACCTCTATAGTTAGCTACAGCAGTTTCTTTCTGCATCTTTTTCCTCTCTAAGTGGAAATATTTCCTCTTTCTGGAGCTTACTGTCCACTTGCTGTCTGACTCTTCTGTTTATGAAAGCAAAAAATAACCTATTGGTCTTTTATGCTTGTGGGTTGACTGATTAAAATCAACTGTGAGTGAGTTTTTGTTGCTATCTTGTTTCTAATTCTTGGCTTTTAAGCCTGTTATCTCTAATTATAGAATGAGTGTCTTGGTCTCAAGTTAAAGAAATTTCAGATAATTTAAGGTATCAGGGAGCAATTGCAGAGAATTTGGGAGGCCAGGAAGATTCTCCAAATCACACTAGGCTGCAAAAAGTTTATCTAATTTGGTAGCTTTTGAGTGCAGGCCTTGAGAAGGGCCAAGAAACCGTGCCTTGAACTCTTTCCAAAGTCCCTATTTCTCTGAGTTGTCTGAGCAGATCTATGTTCAAAGTGAGGCACCAACTCAATATTAGATATTTATTCCTGGGAGCCATGTTGGGAGAAGGGAATGCTCACCCACTGTTCCAGGGCTTGCGCTATTTCTTTGTCCAGAGTGGCCTGGCCTGTGCTTCCTTTTAAGCCTCTTCCTCTACCCTCTTCTTTTGACTTGTTGGACCTTAACCTCTTCTTTCCTCCTCCCCTTCTTTAGAATGGCTGTGGTGCATTTAAGATTATTTGAGTTAGTATTTAATGGTATTTGTATATTGTGTTCTCTTCTAATATTGACTGTATTTATTTTTTGTCTTAGATCTGCTGTTTGGAAAAATTTGTATTAAAATCTCTTGTTATAAACGTATTTTAAGTCAAACTATTCTCATATTTCATCTTCTTTTAAAAAATGCATTTTAGGTACATAGAATTGGATTGATTATAATATTTGGTTCATGACACATTGTCACCATGTTAGTTCATCCATAGCCCTTACTTATTTAATTAATTCATAATGAAACACTTGGGAACTTACATCTCAGTCAAGCACTGGTACATTCATAATAACTTGGGTCTTCTTATAGCTGAATTTTGCTTTGATAATGTTTCATCTCCATCATTTTAGGTAGAGGAAGCCATTGTTTTCATTAACCAAGTTACTGTACTAAATTCTGGGCATTGGAATATTATATAGATTCCAGTTTGCAGTAGGACTAGTGGAAAATACATAGTTTAGAAAACTGTTTACCTAAGTTTATCAGTTTCATTTTGTGTGTGTGTTTTTTTCCCCTTCAAAGTACGGCCAGTATTTCATGAAGGTTTCTTTTTGATTATGTAATTTTTAAAGCTAAAATAACAATTCTTTAGAGACATAGTTGTCATACCTGTAATGATATTTGCAAAGTGGTAAATCTGGCCCCAGCGATTTTTGTAGGTAAAGCAATAAATGAATATGATGTTTATAAACTAAGGGATAAAGCAGACTTATGATTTGTGTTAGATATATAATCTTCAAATTGAGTTAGACTGGTAAAAGGTTAATGTCAAAATAGTTCTCCTGAGACCTAAAAACAATGTTGTGTCATGGCAAGATAATATAACCAATAGATCATTATATGTGGATTAAACTGTGCCATATATTTTAGGGAGATTTTTAAAGATATAATTATTTTATGAAATTACATCTAAGTAACACTCAGTTATTTTAGAGATGTTAAAATAAAACTCTAAATAAATTGACTACAAATCCCTGCAAATTATTGGCTTTAAGAAATAAAATGTTTGAGATTTAATTTTGGAGTAAGTTTAAAATGCTAAAGTAAATCAGAGATTACGTTTTCTTTCTCTCTAGGTTTGTATAGTTAGAATTACAGGAAGATTTTTCAGTACAACTAAAATTATTTTAGATATGCTTTTATAGCAAAATTTTATGTTAGATATTTATTTGATAATCAGAGATTTTATATTTGTGAAAATATTTCTTTGTATTTGTCTTGTCCTATAACCAATTAACTAATAAAGTTAAATTCTCGACCAGGAGCTATCAAACTATGGCCCTTGGACCAAATCCAGCCCATTGCCTTTTTTATAAATAGAGTTTTTGGAGCACAGCCATAATCGTTTGTTTACATGTTGTCTATGGCTGCTACAGTGGCACAGTTGAGTAGTTGTAACAGAGATCATATGGTGCCCAAAACCTAAAATATTTACTACCTGACCCTTTACAGAAAAGATTTGCCAACCCCTGTTCTAGACAAAAGCAGGGGCTATTAGAGATCTTTGTAAGTTAATGTTTTATTTTCTGAAAAATCAAGTCTCTAGTAGTTTTTAATGTATTTATAGAACGCCAGAGGTGTGCTCTTTGGATTAGAAAACTGTGTGAGCCTTCAGGAACGGGTACAGGAATAATGGGCAGGAAGAATCGGAACCTCTATGCAAAGCTGTTATTGCATATGCTTAAGCGAGGCGTGCTTGAAGGCCCTTTTACACATCGACCTGAACCAGGGACACTCAAAACTTTACCTTCATACATGGTAGGTGCCATTGATCAAAGATATATTCATTTCTTTAAAAGTGAGTGTCAATTTATCATCCTTTTTGGGAAGATAGTGATTTATCAGTTAAACATTTTTTTTTTTCTTCATGATCCAATTTTTTCTGTTTTGAGTAAGTAATAGATATTGGCCTATAGGGGGAATATCCTTATTGATTGAGTCATTCCTCAGTGTTCTACAATATTTCTGAAAAACTGGAAGTGAATTTTTATATTGAGCCTTAATTTCCCACTAATTTTCACTAGATTGTAATAATAATACTTTATATTTTTCAGTAAATTGTAGTTCATGAAACTCTTTCATATACATTATTTCAAAATTCAAGAGAGATTGGATTGGGTGAATTCTAAAGTTCCTGTCCATTCTAATAAGATGACAACGGTTAGTGATTCCTATTCTTTAATTTCATTATCAAAATTAGCCTTGTTACAAAGGCAGTTATTACTCTTGGTTGATGAATTGTCATTACCTTGGTCCTTCAAACAAAACCCCAAACCCGTTGCCGTTGAGTCAATTCCGACTCTTAATGACCCTGTAGGACAGAGTAGAACTGCCCCATAGGGTTTCCTAGGCTGTAATCTTTAAGGAAGCAGGCTGCCACATCTTTCTGCCTCGGAACGTCTGGTAGGTTTAAATCACCAGTCTTTTCAGTTAGCAGCCATGTGCTTAACCACTGCGCAACCAGATCTCCTTCCTTGGTCCTTACAACCATGAAATATGCCTTGGTTTGCTAGTATTTAAATACTTCAGAAACCTGACTGCTGGCGTATTACACGTATTGGTTATTCAGTTTCACAGACTCATAGGGAAGGGCTTTACTTTGTAAATAATACTAATAAGATGGCTTAGAGATTTATCTTGGGTTTCCCAGCTAGAATGGCCATCAGCTAAATCCCAGGTCTCTCTCATAGTTAATGCATTTGTTCCCAGATTATCAAGGGATTCTTAATTTCTGATTTGTATTGACTGAGATTTCTCTGCTTACTAATTTTTTTTTTTTTGTACAAAGCAGTTGATGACTACAGAAATAGGGGAGCACATGATTTAAAAAAAATCCAACCTTTTCTATTTATCTTTTTATAAAACTAATAGTTACTTTATGATGTAAATAATTATTGTCAGATTTATCTGTTATGTAATGCAGTCATTTATCAGATTTTCTCATCAGAATATAACTAAAATGTAAATATTATCACTTTCAGGTATTTTAATATTTCATAATCTATTGTACATTGAATGATACGTTTTTATATATTTGTATATAATTAAGTAGAGTATTTAAAAGACTGTTACCAAACTTGAAAATTGATGGAAATTTTAACTAATTGTTACATTTTGAAAGAATAATTTTTCTGATTTTATAAAAACCAGTCCATCTATTTTGATGAACCAAGTTCCGTACGTGTGAAAGGTCCAAGTCCAGAGAGATTACCAGACTGGGTAATGAGTGAGCTGGGGACAAGTGACCACAAATTAAATGAATCATGGAAACTTTCTTCTGAAGATAACACTTTGGTGCAGTCGCCAACCGATGTCCACAGGTATGTTATGAAAATGGTGTTTTGAGGGTGTTTTATCATGTAGCCTATCCCTGGAACTGGTTCATACATTCCATTTTTCCTGTTTTTTTTTTTTTTTATGGTAAGTAGTTGGTTTACTTTATATTTGTATTAAAGTTGAAGGCAATGAGTGGATTTTGGGTAGGTAAACCAATAATTTTGCTTTTCCACTTACTATATGCAGTTCAAGTCTGAGTTCTGAATGTCCAGTTTACGGACAACTGGTATTTACCCTTTAATATTATGTAAATTTGCCCTCGCTTTGAAATGATTGAACCAACACCTGCTCGCAACAAATTCTTCATCATAAGCACCTTCACTTGCTGCACGTGCAGCTTTTAAATCATGGAAAAACGCTTTGTGCCTTTTCTTGCACTAAAGTAAGGCTAAATAAGAACCATATGCGCCCGTTCTCACTTAACCTCCAGATTCAACTTAGAGACACACTTAGGAATGGATCTTGTTCATAACTCTGGGACTGCTTGTAGTGAAGATTATTCTACATTTTTAGCCACTTTTAAAAGTATCTATTAACCTCATATATATTCCATTGGTTGAAAAGTGATACTTGAGTGTCTTTAATGCATTTCTGTGTTTTCCTTTATGATAAGCATGAATTAAGAACATTGTTAATGATTCAAAAAGTATAATATCCTGCATATCCATCTTGAAGCTTATACTTGAATTCCTTTCACTTTTCTCTCATTGAACAATATTTCAGTTAATAAAATGATGAATGTAAACTTAAACCCCACTGCACTGTGCATTCTTACTAGAGTACTAATTCTAAATAGGATTTTTTGTGCAAATAAAAACTAAAAACTAGACGTAAGCTTCTAAGTTTTTAATATATTTAAAAAGACCATTTTTGTTGTGGTGTAATTTTTGGCCTTTAGAAAGCATATATTTAAATTTGGATTTTTTACCAAATTTTGATTTTTATCTTGGCATTGTTTTCTTAAGTGTTAAAATATTAGACAGTGCAGGTTGACACATGCCATACTTCAAACTTCACGCCTCATCGGTCTCTTGGTAGTTTTAAATTTAGGAATTGGTTTGTATTTTATATAAATTTGTTTCAGTTAACAATATGATATTTGTTATATAATTTTTTGTTTATTCCTCAGTGGTATACAGTAATATTATTAATAATTTGAAATGCCTTCATAGTTGATATAGGCAGGTTTGTGTTTTTGGACCTTAGATATTGTGGTGGAAAAGAACAAGTGAGCACAGAACAAGAGATCCAGTTCATGTGAACTTTTTTATTAGAAAAGGGAAACATAAATTCAACTGGAGGGATAAAAGGTGACATAGTTAAGGACATGTTAAGAAGAGCAAAAATAAATGAATAGATAAGTACATAGCTAGTTTTGAGTACTTATTTTTACATTAATAAGAAATTGAACTACAAGAGATGTAATTGTGGCAAACAGAATTTTTGTTAGCCTTGTTTTTTAGGTGCTGTCGAGTCGGTTCCGACTCATAGCCACCCTGTGTGCAACAGAACGAAACACTGCCTGGTCCTGCGCCTTCCTCACGACCTTTGTTATGCTTGAGCCCATTGTTGCAGCCACTGTGTCAGTCCATCTCGTTGAGGGTCTTCTCCTTTTTTGCTGGCCCTCTACCAAGCATGATGTCCTTCTCCAGGGACTGATCCCTCCTGATAACATGTCTAAAGCACGTGAGACATAGTCTCACCATCCTTGCTTTTAAGGAGCATTCTGGCTGTATTTCTTCCAAGACAGATTTGTTCGTTCTTTTGGCAGTGCATGGTATATTCAATATTCTTTGCCAACACCATAATTCAAAAGCATTAATTCTTCTTCAGTCTTCCTTATTCATTGTCCAGCTTTCACATGCATATGAGGTGATTGAAAACACCACGGCTTGGGTCAGGCGCAGCTTAGTCTGCAAGGTGACATCTTTGCTTTTTAACACTTTAAAGAGGTCTTTTGCAGCAGATTTGCCCAGTGCAGTGCATCTTTTGATTTCTTGACTGCTGCTTCCATGAGTGTTGATTGTGGATCCAAGTAAAATGAAATCCTTGACGACTTCAGTCTTTTCTCTGTTTATCATGATGTTTCGCTTATTGGTCCAGTCGTGAGGATTTTTGTTTTCTTTATGTTGAGGTGTAATCCATAGTGAAGGCTGTGGTCTTTGATCTTTATCAGTAAATGCTTTAAGTCTTACTTATAGGCAGATAAATGAAAGTAAAGAGAGAAAAGTGCAAAATCCATCTTGTTTTGCCAAAGCACTTGTTGAATGTCCACCTAAATCCTGGGTTCCTTTCTAGGTGTAATGAATATGGAGGTTATAGTATAAAGATGTACCAAACTAGCGTCCTTGTATATATTTGGACACCAAATCAATGCTCTGGCCGGAATGAGTCATGTGGTTCAGTTTGTTTTGTTTGACTTATACAGTGTCTTTTTAAAGATTTTTAAATGAGTTGTCCAAATTAACAATTAAAACAAAAACTGTTGCCGTCAAGTCAATTTTGACTTATAGTGACCCTAAAAACCCAGTTTTCAGCAGTAGGTTGGAGCTAAGTAATATTTGGCTGCCCCTGTAATGCAGCATGCCTTCACTTCTTCCTGCTAATTCCTGACACTGCCGCTGAGAGCAGTTGCATTTAATATTGGGCTTGAGAGTTTTTATTTTATTTATTTATTTTAAAGTAGGGTTAAGAGGTAAGTGAAGTATTTCTTTTTTCCACTTTTTTTTCTATCAAAAGTGGAAAAAGAAAGGTGTATGAAGAGGGATCATGTGATTCAAGAAGGAGAGAGAGAGACTGTGTGTTTGTAGAAGTGAAGAATGTCCTTATGTCCTGCCAGGATAATTGCTCATTTGTTACTTTTGTAAACTCTACAGACATTTGAGTTTATAACCACTGTTGTAGATGAATGGGGGAGAGAGAGAAGTACATGGATAATTTGAGTACAGTGTTGTCTATAGTTGTGGAGGTATTTGCTATGATTGAGTTATGTATGGATTCAGGATAGGAAGTAGACTCGAGATCTCCAGGGAGTCCATGTGAGTAGATTGTTCCTTCCTTAGAACCTAGGATAAAGTTTGAAAAAACGTGTTGTTGTTTTTAGGTGCTGTCGAATCAGTTCCAACTCATAGCGACCCTGTGTACGACAGAATAAACACTGCCCGGTCCTGCAGTCATTGCTGTGTTTGAGCCCATTGTTGCAGCCACTGTGTGAATCTGTCTCATTGAGGGTCTTCCTCTTTTTCATCGACCTTCTATTTTACCAAGCATGATGTGAAAACATAGAGAATATTTTTCAAATATTACTCAGTGGCTCTTCTGGAAAATGAAGCTGTAGTAAAATCCTCACAATTTTAACAAATAACTTATTTCTCTGTTGGTCACCTATAATTAAATGGCATTTTTAATGCAAAAAAATTTCCCTAGTGTGAGGCATTAGTTATCAGTTATATAAAAAGTGGCCTAACCCTGTCCTACTCAGCCTTCAGATATCAACCAAAATGTCAGATCTTCAGTGAAGCCTTACCTGGCATCCCAGGTCAGTTAGGTGTATACCCCTGTACTACTCAGTGTTTCTTTGTTGTACTCATCACCGGTGTAAAGGTTCAGTGTATCTTTGAATTAGCTGAGGGCAGGAACTGGGTTTTTCCTTTTAGGCACTATATTTCCAGCACTTAGCACCAGGGCTGGAATGTTAGGAGCTCCACAAGTATTTATATTTGGTGAGCACATAAATAACTCAGTAAATGGAGTGTGTTAGGCACTGCTGCATTTGGAACTTATCTGTACAAAATGTGTTTACGTATTGTGGCAGAAGGAAAGGTCCATAGGATTTTTTTAACTTTTAGAAAAAATTGAAGGAAGAATAAATTTTAGAAAAAGTTGAGGGAAGTGTGGATATAGGCTATAGCAATGTCCTTCATACACTGGGAGGAGTATAAAGATGGTGAAGGAGCTGGAAAAGCCATATTTATGTTTCTGGTCAAGTGTGTTGGAAAAGCTAAAGATCAATTAGGACTGCAAAGACAAAGCTTCTCAGGATATCTTTTCTTGTTTCTCTTAATTTAATATTTTGATTTGATTTATTTAAAATAAGTTGATTTAAAATTGTAATCTGCATGCACATCAATTGAATATTGCATTTGTAATTTTACATACATGAGGCATTAAAAAATAGAACACTAACATTTACTCTAGCGAAAGGCAGCAAAATTGATTTTAAGGCTGAATACATAATGTGTGATGTCAGATAAGAGGTGGTAATGAATAGTCTATTGATGGTCTGTCTTCTTATTTCTCCTCTGAAGCTGCTCCTTTCCTCTGAGTGGTCATACTGTGCTATTGAAAAAGTATCTGCTAATGTTGACCTAATATGTCTAATCAGTTCCGTAAGAAATTGTTTTAAAAAGTTTAAGAGGCTTATAATATTTGACACATGTATGTTTTTATAGTGAATAATTTATTGTTACTTACAGCTGAAGTTTAATGCTGCCTCATAAATTTTACAACCGCTTCAACTTGTCCTTTGAAAAACCCCTTTAATCTTAAAAGATTTTTCCCCCTTAGTGTTTCTTTTTTGATCACTTTATAAAATCCTGCTTTACTTAGACCTTTTTGTATGTGAAGTATTTCTAATGACATTTTAGATTATGCTGTTTGTGTCCTAGCCTTTTTATAGTATTAAAGATGCACAGTCCTTTTGAAGCCTTTTTGTTAAGAATCCCTATTCAGTAGAGATAGCACCTTTCCTTTCCTTTATTCTTCCTGTGGGATATACTGGACAACCTCCTGCCAGACACGTTACAAGTATGATGAGGTTATATTCTATCTGGTTTATTATCTTGTTTTCTTTTTCCACCAAATATACATTACACACTAATAAACTTAGCCTTCCACACCAAACAACTTCCACACAGAGCTAGTTTTGTCCTGGTTCTATTCTTTGCTTTCCTTTTTAATATTTCTTGGTTTACGGTCATATTAT